GGCTTCTTTTCTCCTGTGTTTAGTGTGTGTGTGTGTGTGTGTGTGTGTGTGTGTATGCATGCACGCATGCACACGTGCACACATCCATTTCTCTGTTCTGATCCATTGATATATACATATGTGTGTGTGTGTGTATATATATATATGCATATATATGCATATTTTTGTATCAGTACTATTCACTATTTAATTTTAATGTTTGGACACTTATAATGTGTTTTGTTATTTAGTGAAGCTAGCTCCTCCTCATTATTCTGAGTTTTTAAAAAACGCCATTATTTTTTCTCCCATTTTTATTAGTATATTATAATTTTATAAAATAGTGAGTTTTTTTGTTACATATTTGTATATATATAAAATATAATTGAGTCAATTTCATTTCCCAGTACCTCCTCTTTCCCTCCCCTCCTGTCTTTCTCTGGTCCCCTTCCCCTATTCTACTGGTTTTCCTTCTATTTTCATAAGACCATCCCCAACATTTTTTTTCCTCCCTATCTTCCACATATGACAGAAAACGTATGACCTTTGATCTTCTGAGTTTGGCTTATTTCCCTTAAAATAATTCTCTTGATTTCCATCCATTTCCCTGCAAATGACATAATTTCATTCTTCTTTATTGCCTAGTTATTTTTTACTGTTTATTCTTTTCAATGAATTTTAGAATAACTTTCTCAAGTTCCAAACAAAATCCTACTAGTTTTTTAATTGGAAGCAAAAATACCTTTCAATTTAACTATATATTTACAACATTGAGTTTTCTCAATGTTGATATACCAGGAACATGGTATATCTTTCCCTTTATTCACACAATCCTTTATATATCTCAGCAAGTTTTTGTAGCACTTTTATATTTTCTACTTGGTTGCTATTGGTAAACAGAAAAATATATTTGTGTTGATTATCTTGTATTAAGCACTTCTTGAATGAGATTTCTTATAAATTCTAACAATTTCACAATTTTCTCAGTTTATAGTCTTAAGGGTTTTGTTTTTCTTTGTTTTGTAGTACTGGAGATTGAACCCAGTACTTGTATCACCAAGCTACATCCCTAGACTGTTTTATTTTGAGATGGGGTCTCATTAAGTTGTTGAGGCTGACCTTGAACTTGCAATACTCCTGCTACAGCCTCCCAAGTAGCTGGGATCACAGGAGTGAATCACCATGCCTGACTATCTCTTGCATTTTAAAAGTGAACAACTGTATTGTTTGCAAATAACTTATAGCCTATATTAGCTCCTGGGTGGAATCCAAGCATTAAGCTGTCATAAGGTAAACTTATATATTATTGGTGCAATATAATAATACATTATAATTTGTTCCTTAAAGCTCATCTAACCCTGTGAAAATATCAAATTGACAGTGAAAATAAGGAAAAGGAAAATCCAAATATATTAATTTTAAAACCCTTATTAACTATGTAAAGCCAAATACTTAATAGAAATTCTGCATCATAAGATGTCTTAAAATACACACCTATTGTGAATATATGAAAAAAAACATTGAATTTTGCACTTTAAAGAGATAATTATATGGTTTGCAAACTATATCTCAACTTAGAAAAAAAAGCCCTAAAGTTAGAATGAGATGTGATACATTTTTTTTCTGCTAAATATCACTCAAGTAAAAATAGGCATTCTTTGTTACCCTCAAAACCTTCCAAGAGCATTAAATTTTTTGAATGCTATACTTTTGTTTTTCAGAAGCAAAAACAAGTAGCAACTTAACCTTGTAAAATACATTAAAAACATCAGAGTAATAACTTGTCTATCTCACTGAAAAAAATAGTGCAAGAGAGACTATTACACAGCTTTTAATGAAAGTTCTATTGAATAAATCTCAGAATAATTTATAATTTTAACTAAATTCACAAGTCATAAATAATGACCATAGGGCTGGGTCTGGGGCTCAGTGGTAGAGTGCTCACCTGGCACATGTGAGGCACTGGGTTCGATCCTCAGCACCACATAAAAAATAAAATAAAATAAAGCTATTGTGTCCATCTACAACTAAAAAAATACATATAAAAATAATGACCATAAGAAAAAATTATAGAACTTCTAAAATGGTATGTGAAGAAAGAAATGGGATCAACTCTCTGGAAATTTACTATTGTCAATGAGATATGTAATGAGACATGGTAAATATTTGGAGCTGGGTAACTTCTATGGTAACTCTATCACTGATCCTTTCTTTTCCTGTTTTAATCAAACCCCTTTAGGACTGAGCTCCTTTGAGAATCTAATAATTTAATCACTTGTGTTTTATAACTCGTCCTCGATTTGTATTTCTCAGCTTGTTGATTTGTGACAGTATTATATTACAGAGTCCAGTCTTGTTTCATTGATACTGGACATGAGTTTGCAAATAGTAGACTTTCTCTTTGCTGATTTTGGATAACTTTGCCAGAATTTCTTCATTGCTTTTGCTCTGGGACCTGCAGGTACCCCTCCCTCAACTCTGATGTTACCAGCATTCACTTATTTTCCTGTAGCTGTTAAGCAAGGTGCCTACTTTGTTCAAGATGAAATGTATTCCTTTGATATCTTGCTTTACCTATACTTATTTTTAATATATTTATTTGTAGCACTGGGGATTGAACCCAGGGGTGTACTACCCCTAAGTCACACCCCCAGCCCTTTTTATTTTTTTATTTTGAGACAGGGTCTCACCAAGTTGCTGAGGCTGACCTCAAACTTGTGATCTTTTTGCTGCAGTGTCCCAAGTCACTGAGATTGGAGACATGCACCACTATACCTGGCTTAAAATTGTTCTTTTAGTCATTGAGCTGTAAGAGTTATTTACATATGCTGGCTACTAGATTCATATCAAATACACGATTTATGAATATTTTATCCCATTCCATGGATTATCTTTTCACTTTCTTTTTAAATTTTTTTAGAGTTGTAGATGGACAGAATATCTTTATTTTATTTGTTTATTTTTATGTGATGCTGAGAATTGAACCCAGTGCCTCACACATGGCAGGCAAGTGCTCTACCACTGAGCCCCAGCCCCAGCCCTATCTTTTCACTTTCTTAACAGTGTGCTTTGAAGTTCAAAGTGTCTCATTTTAGTGGAGCCAAACTTATTTATTTTTTCTTTTGTTGCTGTGCTTTTGGTGTCATATCTAAGAATCATTGCCTACTCAAGATCATGATATTTTATACCCATGTTTTCTTCCAAGAGTTTAATAGTTGTATCTTTCTCTTTAGGTATGGGATCCATTTTGAGTTAATATTTACATATGGTGTTAGGTTATGGCTCAACCTCAATTTATTTCTCATGTGGATATCCAGTTATCCCAGCATCATTGATTAAAAAGATTATTCTTGCCCCCATCAGATTGTCTTGGCTCCCTTGGTGAAAATTAATTGACCATAAATGTATGGGTTTGTTTCTGTATTCTTGATTCCATTCTATTCGTATAAAAAATTTTGGGTGGGGGGGTACTGGGGATTGAACTCAGGGGTACTTGATTTCACTTGAACTTACACAGGACACTGATGTACAGTGCATGGTACTTGTCCACATTCTACTTGTTAGGAATTTTAATCTTGGGGATTGTTGGAGGTTGCAGGGAGTTGCAAGAAGGAGTGGTTACATCCTAGCCCTATTTTGTATTTTATTTAGAGACAGGATCTCACTGAATTGCTTAGAGCCTTACTTTTGCTGAGGCAAGCTTTGAACTCGTGATCCTCCTGCCTCAGCCTCCTGAGCCACTGGGATTACAGGTATGAGCCACCGAGCCCGGCATAAATAGTATTTTAATGAAGAATTTTCCCTGAGCCTTAACCCGGGAAAACCATGAGTAGAATCATGCCATTTTTGCCCTCGTTTATGACTAAATTTGGTGGAGTCCTGTAGGATCTCACTTAGGAATAAGAAGCAGAAAAATGGTTGTCTAGGAAATCAGGAATGGGATCTGTAGTGCCTCATGGAGAGAACTTAGGTTTGGAATTAGTAAGTCCTGGATTTGAATACTAGTTCTATCCAAAATTGTATGGCTTTGTGTAAGTTTCTTAACCTCTAGGAACTTCAGCTACTATGAAATGGGGATGATGGCAATGTCAATCTCAGAGGGCATTAGCATTAAGAGACAAAAGTTGTGAAAGTGGTAACATGGTCCCTGGTCCCTAACAGTAGGTATTTGATATCAAGCAAATTTATGGCTGATTCATGGTCTTGTGAATCCCTCCCATCTGACTCAGAGTGGTCGTATGGGGTTAGGAAAGGTGGGCTATTCCATGGTAACCTGTGCCAGTTCCTGTGTTTCTGCTTCTGTCTCCTACACTTATAGCAGCTATAGTTCCATTCCCTCACCTCTTTTGTCAGGTGTGGTGTAAAAGGTGGATGATAAAGAAGAAGGAAATAGCTTTCTACACACCAACTTTCTGGTCAGAAGAATAAATTTTAGGTTTGACCGATGCCCAGTAGTGAAGTACAGTGTAATTAGGAAATAGTTATATACTGTTTTATATATCTATAACTTAATTTTTATAGAAGAAACACGTAGTTTCATGGTAGATCTGGAACTCTGTCATAGGTGAGGGAATCCTGTCTGCATGAGCCACAGTTCAGGCCCCTTGTTTACTTGTGGCAGTCCCCAAATTGTAAGGAAAGAACCTGAGATGAAACAAGCTACCCTTCTTCTACACAAAGCTTCTAATCTTAACCCTAAATAGTAATGGTATTGCTGAAGTTTAGGAGGACAGGGCACAGTGTTTGTTGGCTTCTCATTATTTCAATTAGCTGGTTAGAGTGACTCACAAGACCTCTAAACAGGGTTGTTGCCCTAAAACTGTTTCCTTTCTCCATACTTGACTCTGTCACTTGGGAGGGGATACCATTTCTGGAACCCAGATTCAATAAGTACTTTTGGCTTGGTTGTCATCACTTCATATCCTTAAGATCCAGCTCCTCTCCACATTCTTCCTTTATTATTTTCTCTATTTGGATCCTTTGTGACTTTGTGGGTTTAGTAACAGGGAATCTGGCTCCTGTTATATGATTGTCAACTCCTGGGTCTCAGGAAGGCCATATTCAACTTTGTGTTGGTCAAACAACTTGTGCAGGGCACTGATGTAGAGTGCATGGTACTTGTCCACAGTCTCCTTGTTGGGCATTTTAATCTTGGGAATTGGCAGGGGTTCCCCAACTGTGGAGAAGGAGAAGAGAGAAGCATCAGAGTCCCCACCCCAAGTCACACTACCCTTCCCTCACTGGGGCCACATACTGACAGTATCTGGGCCCTTCCCCTTCCTTCATGCTTTTTTATTGTTGTTGATCTTTCTTTCCTACTTCCACCCTCCCTTCCTCCCTTCCTTCTCTCTCTCTCTCTCTCTCTCTGGATTGAGCCCAGGGATGCTTTATCACTGAGCTATATCCCCAGCCCGGCCCCCTTTTTTAAATGTTACTGCTGAATTGCTGAGGCTGTCATTTAACTTGTAGTACTCCTGCCTGGGAGTGCAGGCATGCACCACCACACCCTGTACTTTCTTCATTTTTCACCCCCCTACCCCTGCTCCAGCTCTATATTGGCCCTCATGCTCTGGCCACCTAATATAAACCATATTGCAGAGAACCAGAGTAAGCACAGGAGGGAGCTGAAGGAGTGTGTATGAATAATGATGTACTCATGACAGCTGTTGAACTCTCTCACCTGGGAATGGCCACAACTGTTATCTGCTTAATTGTCTTCCCCACCCTACTCTAAACCACACCTACTAGAATTCCTTTTGTCCCATCCTAGCTGTTAGTCGGATCTCCTAGGATTTGATGACTTGAGGTGGGGGGATCAAGGACCCACTCTGCCCAGGGAATGTGGAAAGCTCACCAACAGTGTTAATGGGCCGATTGAAAGGCAGAAAGCCCCAGGATCCACGAGTGAGGCCCCGGCCATGGAAGGTACACAAATTTATTCCCAGGGCTTTTTTAAATGCTCCCTGGATGGTTTTTTGAAAGAATCTTAACCATGTGCCTTCAGGGAACGTCTCCTGATTGTGAACTTCATTCTCACCGAAGGAATAGGAAGGGACAAGGTATGCCCTGCAAAGAGAAGGGCAGGGTATGAAATCCCCGAGGAAGCAAAACCTCCCCAAGCAAAATCTCCCCCGGAAAAACTCCATCCAAGATCAGAAATTTCTCCAACCTCCTCATTATAGGTCAAAAATTTAAGCATTCAAATATACCTGCCAGGTCCCACCCTCCCAAATGAACTGTGACAGAATGAAACTAATCTCGGACACCTAACTGCCTACAGTGAATCCAGCATCCAGAATGATCTTCCTAAATTGCATATGTGGACATGTCACTGCTCTCACTGAAACTCTTCCAGAACTCCTCACTGTGTACTATAGGGCTTAGCATGGCCTTTGTGCTCCAGCTGTCCCTACTTGGCTAGCTGCCCCTTTCCCTGCTCCTTCCTTGAGCCCTGTTTAGCCATACTAAGTGTGCAAAGTTCTCTCTCATCTATGTGTTCATGCTGCTCCCTCTGTCTTTTTGTGGCAAATTCCACTTTGCCTTTCAATTCTCAGTTCTGATATTGTCCCCTGGAAGAAATTTTCTTTAGCTACCTCCAATCCCCCACCCCCTACAGTGGCTTTGGTGCCCCTCATCTACTGCTGACCTGTCTCTTGTCCTCTCACTCCCTAGCCCTGCGTTACAGTCATCTCCTTTCCTGTCTGACTTCCCCAGGAGATGCCAAGCCCATCAAAAATAAGAATAGTATCATATTCACCTTTGAATCCCAAGGGCCTAACATGGTACCTGATATTTCATATATCCTCATGGAATGCTTGAATTCTTTCTCCCTTTTCATCTGACTGGAAACTCCTACTATTTAAATTCACAGTTCAGATGTCACTGAACTATGAAACCTCTACTCTGGTTTAAAGTCTTTCCATGGAATTGATGCTCCCATAGCAATTAGTATACATCTCCCTTATGCACTTGGTTCATTCAACAAATATCTCTTGAGTTCTTTCTATGTGCCAGCATTGTTCTAGGCCCTCAGAATATATCAGTGAATGGGCTGGGGATGTGGCTCAAGCTGTAGCGCGCTCGCCTGGCATGCGTGCGGCCCGGGTTCGATCCTCAGCACCACATACCAACAAAGATGTTGTGTCCGCCGAGAACTAAAAAGTAAATATTAAAAAATTCTCTCGCTCTCTCTCTCTTTAAAAAAAAAAAGAATATATCAGTGAACACACTGGATCAAAAAAAAATCTCTGACCTCATGGAACTTACTTTTTTACTGGAAGAGGAGGAAGATAAACACTAAAATAGCAGGTAAATAAAATAGATGATATATAAGAAGATGATAAATACAATAGGAAAACAGTAAAGCAGGAGAGTCAGGATAGAGCCATTTGAAAAGAGATGTTTCAGCAAAGGCTTGAAGGATGTACAGGAATGGACCAAGCAGCCATGTGGAGGAATAGTGCTCCAGGCGGAGGGGACATGAGGGCAAGACCCTAAGGCAAGAGTATATGTACTTGGGGAACAGCAAGGAGGCCAGTGGAGTTGTGAAGGCACAAACAAGTGGAGGAAGTAATGGGTGATGAGGTCAGGAAGGAGAGGTGGCTGAGGACTAGATGAGACTTAGTGTCTTTTAGACCCTTTTGAGGATTTTGGCTTTTGTTCCAAATAACATGGGAGCCACTGGAGCATTTTGAGTGTGAGATGATCTGACTTATATTGAACAAAATTATTCTGGCTATAGTTGTAAATGGACTCTTGGAAGTAAGGGAGGGAGACAGAAGCAGGGAGAGTAGATAGAAGTATTATATGATGGTAATTTAAACTAGATGGTTGTCTGAGATGGTAAATGACTGATTCTGATTACATTTTGTAATGATATGTGTGTGGGTCTGTCTTCCACAATGGACTGTGGGTTTATGAGGACCAGGTCTTATTTATTTCTAGAGCCTCAGTGCCTAGTCCTATGCCCTAAACATAGTAGGCATTTGATAACTGCTGAATGAGTGAAAATATATATTTAAAAAATATATTTTTTCAAACCAGATTAGATGTTTTTCGGGTTTGTGCCTTATTCATCTTGGCAATCCTCGTAGCACCAGGGCTAGTGCCTTCCTTGCCCTTTGGAGATTCTCAGGGTCTCCCAGTGAGTAGATGGATATAGAATGAAGCCCCACTTCCCTAGACCCCCAGCTTACCAGGCTAATGGGCATAAGGTGCAAGGTTTCCTATAATTCTTTCACCAACTTCAAGTGAGAAAGTTGTCCACTGTAATATGTCTGGAGGTTCAAACATCCCCAAGGCACAGTAGTAAAGGGGTAGAAGGAAACAGTGAAGAAGGGCCCCCCTAACAGGTTTCCCAGAGAGGACACCATTTTGGAGAGGGCTACAGAGGTCCTGTGTCATTATGAGAAGAGAGCCCAGAACCCAGGGACCCACCCTGTCTTCAGAGCCAATTTCACAAAACCTTTGCGATTTTTTAGCAAGATGGTGGAGGCTCCTGGGCGGCACAAGAGGGCTTCTGCAGCTCCACCCACCACAATAGTCACAGCATTTCCTGAGCCTTTCTTGGTCAGCAAGTACTCCAGGGCCAACTCACTCACTGGGCATATACCTGTGAAACCAGAGTCAAGTGGTAGAAGAAACTTGGTGCAGGGTTTTTCCAGACTCTTTCTGTTGGAGACAGTTTTGTCTCCTGCTTATTGCTGTTCCCACTCTCTGTCTTTGGCCCCCATATCCTGGGCTAGACTTAGCCTGAGGTGGATCCTTAGGCCTACATGCTTAACTTGGGGGTCTGTGCTGATACAATTGGGACTATACTGAGTTCCTCTGCCTTCTTCCATCCAGAGTCTACTATATTCTAAATCAACATTCTTTGAAACCCATGAACTACAGCCATCTTCCACTCTTCTCAGGCTGACAGCACTGAAGACCCTCCAGAGTTCTTTTCTCCATGGGTGATCAAGACTAGAGCCACCATCAACATGCTTCTACCCTAAGGGAAACCTGCCAAAGGGGAGCCATTGGCTGGTGGTTTTAAAGAGTAGGCAGACCTGGGAGCCTATCTAAGCCAAATTGAAATGAACAGTGGAAGGTGGATGACACCTTGTTGTTCAATGATAGCCAGAGTCTTTCATCACTTCTGAATCCTGTCTTTGCCCTTCACTCACCTTCTACTCTCTACTGCGATGACAAAAATTGACTCCAGGATCCAGCTTTGGAGAGAGATCCCTGCACCAGGGTCAAGTCAACCTCAGAGGGAAGCAGAAGCATCCCCTGGGATTCTAGTAATTCTACTTGTCCCCTTCAGATAAATGTATCTTACCTCTGGTGTCCAGAAGGATGAATATTCATCTAGAGAGGACATCTGTCAGGCTGCCCTGGCTTAAAGCCTGGTGTGGGGAAGTTGTCCTGATGGCATCTTATGCAAGGGCAGAGGTATTCCAAGAAGATAAAGTTCATGAACCAAAAGTATACTAGCTGGTATGAGAGACTCTAAAATGTTTTTAAGCTACCCTTGGATGAGAGCTGTATGGATGACTGGCCAAAAGAAAGCAACTGACATCCCAGAAAAGAGTCTGGTGAATCATCCCTGATTTTTGTTTATGATTCTGTTTAATACTTGGCTTTCAACTTCTACTTTCCATTTTGGCATTGATCCTGAACTCAGCCTTCTGATTCCCTCTGTGAAAGGAATCCTGGCAAATCATATGAATGCCTGTAACTTCCCCGGTTGCCCAACCAAATCCTGCCTCCCAGATCTCAGATGGAATCATATGCTTCACCACATACTCCTGACACTGGCCCAGTGTGTTCTAGATTCAATTTTTACCAAGTTCTTTTCTATGAGGGAATGACTGTCAGTGCTTATCAGTGTTGGAGCCCTGAGATACATTCTAAAATGGAATAATTGTACCAAAAAGAATTTCAGTTGTATGTATACATAGAAAATACTAATCAAAAGTAAATAAATGAAGGAATGTAAGGAAGATCATTAGAGGAGAAGAGGGAGAATGGGGGAGGGAGGAGGGAAAGAAAAGCAGGGGGAATGGGGATTTAAATCAAATACCTTGCATATGTTATTTTGCCAAAATGAACCCAAGTGCTATGTATAATTTTAATGCTCAAATAAAAAATAAGCAAAATTTAAAAGTTGAATGATTTATTATACTCACCCATTGACATTACATATTCCCGCACAATTGGGATCCAGAAGATCCCTTCCAAGGTCGCTAAAACGGGAGTGATGGATGGGAAAATCTGAGCAAAACCACTGGCCTCAGTGGCAAAGTTGATGAAGACACCATAAGAGAAAATTCCATGGGGGTGGCTGCCAATGATGTAGTTGTGTTTGGGAGAAAGGTCATGTGTCTTCACCAGCTGTTAGAGGGAGAATGAGTCAGAGCATTGGCTAGGCAGAAGAAAGAGGGGATGGGTAGACTCAGACCCCAATGGGTAGCCTATGTTTCCTTCTAGGAGCCTCAAATCTTTGCTCCTTGGGATGCCATCATTGACATAGGCTTGCCAGGAATCGTAGTGGTCCAAGAGGCTACACTGGGTTTTCCACTGTTCATCTGTTCCCCCACCTGCCCATCCATCTTGGGTCTCTGCTCTGCAGTATACCTCTGGGCCTTGACCTTCACTGATGGCCACCAGCACTCTTGAATAAATGGAACTGGATAGGGGGTCAGAGTCTGGGCAAAAAGGACCAAGGGCATCCAGAAGAAAGATAGTCACCTTTACTGGGAAGTAATTTTGGAAATACTTCCAGAGGGTCCAGTTTCGTACCCAAGCTGAATGCCTACCGCCTGTGGATAGAAAAGGGAAGGGAAGAGCAGTTGGAGACTTGCCAGTCCCTTTACCTCTCCCACAGGTGAAGAGTTCTGCTGGAAGTACTCATACCCTTAAAGGGGTCTCCTTTCCACACCTTAAAGCTCTAAGTACCATCCCTAACCCAACTCCCAAGACAGGAAGCCCCTATTCCTCTGGAGCCATCCAAAAAGTTTTTGGGACAACATCTCAAGACTGGGGGCACCTTCCCAGAAACTCCAACCTCTTAATTCTTTCTGGGCAGCCTGGCAAAGCCCTCTGTCCCCTTCCCTCCCCACTGTATTTCCCCCTCCCCTTCATCCACTTCCTTCACCCTGAGGTTTTTTTTTTTGCACAGGCAGGATCACCATTCTGCCCCCATCACTTACCTTGATTGTGAGTATTCCAATCATAAGCAAGCCAGGCTAAGGCAAGCACAGCCAAACACCAGAATCTAGTGAACACCATGAAGTAGGGTATACTGATAATGGAAATAGTTCCTGAGGAGACACATGGGATCATGCACTTCAGTTTCTTTCCAGTTTCAGCACACCTCCCATAACTCCCATCTCCACTCCACACCAAAGGAGCAGCACAAAGTCAGAGTGGCCTCTTCTCTCCTTCTCCCCTTGTACCCTTGCCTAGCTCTTCTGTGGTCCAGGAAGACCTTTGAATTATTGGATCTGGAGCTCTCAATGGCTGAGATTTTAACAGCAGAACCATGAAGTGCTCAGAGCAGACCTTCATAAGGGGTCCAAGGACAGCAGTACTTTTTAGAAAATAGAATATCATGTTGGGCTGGTGGCTGATTATTCCCATTCTGGAACCTCAGGAAATTCTTTCTAAAATCTTGACCCTCCTTTCTTTTCTGAACCGCTAAGTCTGCGCATTCCAGAGCTTGCCTGCAGTATACAGGCTATTTGATTCTGAGAAAAAAAAATGCAGAATAGAAATTGCCTGACCATGTTCTGTTTTTTTCCTTTCACAATGTTATGAAAGTTCAAACGGGGAAAAATTTATCTCTGTTAGCAAAGGAACACAGCAGTCTGTGAAATGCAAACATAATACTTCTTACAGTTCTGGGAAATGAATGCCATTTTATTTTTATGTAGTTTTTGCCATGTTGGGGATTGAACTCAGGTCCTTGTGCATTACATCTGATATAAGTGCTCTACCACTGAGCTACATTCCATTTTTAAATCTGCATTCATGGAAAAGATGGGCTAAATACACATATTGTGAATAAAAAAAAAAAGACCTAGCTAAGGGAATGACATCTTTAACAAGCTGCCACATCATGGTAGATGAAATTTTCAGAGAAACAAAAGAAACTTGAGTTACCAACAGGCTTGTCTCTTGCATTTGAGACATAAATGAAAATAACAGTAAAAAGACACGGTGGGCATTTCTTTAAAAACTCAGGTTATGAATAGGGCATGGTGGTGCCCACCTATATTCCCAGCAATTTTGGAGGCTGAGGCAGAAACATCATAAGTTTGAGGCCAGCCTTGGCAATTTAGCCAGACTCTGTCTCAATAATAATAATAAGGCTAGGGGTATAGATCAGTGGGAGAGCACTTGCCTACCGTGTGCTAGGCTCTGGGTTCCATCCAGTATTGCAAAAAAACAAAACCAAAAATTTCTAATTAAAGGTGGTCTAAATGTATCTTGCTTTGAATAAATTTTGTTGAAATCTTCAGTATTTACAATAGTGCCTGGCACATAGTAGGTCAACAAATATCTAGACTGGCTGAAAAATAAATAAATAAATAGATAAATAAATATTATCTCTTTAAAGTCAACTTAAGTGATTAACGTTTAGTTAGCATGTGCAATGCTATTTAAATATGACATTATTTTAAAAGTGTAGCCAGATTGTGTGCCTTCTTACATATTTGGTTTATCTACCAGTCCTAAGGTAGCCTAGGTGCCCTTACCTGGATAAACACCATCTTGTGGAATTTATTGGAACTGCAGGTGTGGCTCTGCAGGAAACCAGAAGTGCAATCTGAGAACAAGCCTTCCAGATCCAGCCTGTTTGAATATCATCAGTGTAACGCGCGGTGACAAAAGTGGGATTGTAGGATATGGTGAAGATAAAGGGAAGATCGGTAATGTAGAAGAAGGAGACTGAGAGGCAGAGTAGAGGGATGGGTTAGGGGAGGCAATGCAGAATGAATTCTTTAAAAAATGTTATCTGCATATATAAATATACCACAGGGAACCTCACCTTTATGCATTAGTAAAAAGAACCAATTAAATATAACTAAATAGCTAGGTGTGGTGGTGCATGTCTGTAATCCCAGTTACTCAGGAGGCTGAGGCAGGAGAATTGCAAGTTCAAGGCCAGCCTCTGCAGCTTAGGGAAACCCTAAGCAAGTTAGCAAGACCCTGTTTCAAAATAAAAAATAAAAAGGACTGGGGATGTGGCTCAGTGGTTAAGAGGATGGAAAGGAAGTCTAGTAGAGTAGAGCTTCAAAATAGAATGGAGAGGGGAGGGAGAACCTGAGGAAAAGGGGAAGATCATGAACTGAAATTGAATTCCATGCATGTTTGACTTTGTCAGGAGGAACCCAACTACTGTGTACAACTATAAAGCTCTAATAAAAGATAAATAAAGAAAAATAAAGAGAATAAACAGAGGCCCAAAGTAGAAAAGCTAAAGATCACAAAACAAGGAATTTCATGACATAAAGCAAAGGCATCTGGGGAAGGAGTGATGAAAAATAAGGCATGACATTGAGACCAGGAGACAGTTCCAACATCTTGTTCACAGTCAAGTGAATGAATGTGAAGAGGATTATCAAGAATGAATTTCAGGGCTGGGGATGTGGCTCAAGCGGTAGCACGCTCGCCTGGCATGCATGCGGCCCGGGTTCCATCCTCAGCACCACATACAAACAAAGGTGTTGTGTCCGCCGAAAACCAAAAAAATAAATATTAAAAAAATTCTCTCTCTCTCTCTAAAAAAAAAAAGAATGAATTTCATATACATAGGTTACTTTTTAAAAAAATTGCAGTGCTGGGGATTGATCCAGAGTCTCAGGTATTCTAGGCAAATACTCTATCAACTGAGCCACATCCCTAGCCCCACAGGTTTCTAATTTAGTTTGTACTGAGGCCGACCAAGCCATTCTAAAAGATGTGCAGTTGTAGCTCATCATCATTCTAATTTGCATTTCCCTGATTGCTGATGATGCTTACCAGCTTTTCCTTTGCTTATCTGCCTTCTGTGTTTCCTCTTTAGTGAAACTTCTGTTCAAATCTTTTGCCCATTTTTCAATTGGGTTATTTGTTTTTTTACTATTGACTTTGGGAGGTGCTTATACATTTTAAATACAAATCTGTTCTGGTATGCGATTTGCAAATATTTTCTCCCAGTCCTTGTCTATCTTTTATTTCTCTTAATGGGGGGGGGTCTCTTTCTTAGTGTGAAACCTTTTGATTTTGATGAATTTATTTTTTTCCTTTTGTAAGTTGTGCTTGGGTATGTGTGTGCATGTGTGTGCATGTGTGTGCATCTGTGTGTTTGTGTGTGTGTGTGAGAGTGTGCATGTGGTACTGAGAACTGAATCCAAGACTGTTCTACCACTGAGCTGCATCCCCAACCCTTTTATTTATTTATTTATTTTGAGACAGGGTCTTATTAAGTTCCTGAGGGTAGCCAGAACATATGATCCTGCCTCAGCCTCCTTCCTGGGATTATAGGGGTACACCAACATGCCCAGCTTTGGTGAATATTTTTGATGTGCTATTTGATTTGGTTCCTTCATATTTTGTTGAGAATTTTTGCTTCTTCTATTTTCTCATTAAGAATATGGACCTAGAATTTTATTTTATTGTAGTTTTCTTGCCTGCCTTTTATATCAGGGTAATGCTGGCCTTGTAAAATGAGTTTGGAAGTGTTCCCTCCTCTTTAGTTTTTTTGGAAGCATTTAAGAAATGTTGAGTGCCAGATACTGTGGCACACACTTGTAATCCCAGCTACTAGAAAGGCTGAAGCAGGAGGATCTCAAGTTTGAGGCCAGTCTTAGTAAGATCCTGTCTCCAAATTAAAAAAATAAATAAAAAAAGGGCTGGGAATGTAGCTTAGTGGTAAAGCACCCTTGGGTTCAGTCCCCAGTATTGCAAAAAATGTTGATATTAGTTCTTCTTTGTTTTTTTTTTTCTTTGAATGTTTGGTAGAATTCAGTCATGAAGCCATCTGGTTCTGGGCTTTAACTTGTTGGGAGATTTTTGATTATTGACACAATCTCCTTACTCATTATTGGTCTGTTCAGATTTTCTAATTCTTCATGATTCATTCTTGGAAGGTCATATGTATCTAGGAATGTATCCATTTCTTCTAGGTTTCCAATTTACTGGCATGTGATCATTCATACTAGTCTTATGATCCTCTGTGTTTCTGTAGTATCAGTAGTCATGTATCCTCTTTCATGTTTTATTTTATTTGATATTATCTCTCTTTTTCTTGGTTAGTCTAATTAAAGGTTTGTCAAGGACTGGGGTTGTAACACAGTGATAGAGTACTTGTCTTGCATATGTGAGGCACTGGGTTAGATCCTCAGCACCACATAAAAATAAATAAAGATATTGTGGTCCATCTACAACTAAGAAAAAATTTTAAAAAGGTTTGTCAATGTTATCTGTTCAAAAAGCCAACTCTTGCATTTGTTGATCTTTTCTATTATTTTTTCTAATCTCTATTTCATTTATTTATACTCTAATCCTTATTATTTCCTTCCTTTTGCTAACTTTGGACTTAATTTATTGTTTTTATAATTTTTGAACTAAAATTAGTATGCTTGAGATCTTTCTCTTTTCTTTATGTGTTTATTGACATGTTTTTATTGTATTTATTCAGAAGTATTTCACTCTTTGATGATATTAAAGGGGTACTGTGTTTTAAATTTCTACTTTCAGTTGTTCCCCTATTTTGATGCTGTTCCTTTATTTTGAATACTATCTCCCTAACTTTCTGCTTATCAAAATTCCCTCAGCTTTCTAGACTTAGCTTAAAGTACACTAACTTGGTGATATCTTTGCTAATCCCCTGGATAGAATTAAAGCTTTCCCCCTCTGCATCCTTCTAACATGCTGTGTTCCTGTTTGTCCCTGTTCCATTTAGTCTGCTTGTGTAGCTAGTACCTCATATGTCTGGCCCTTTCCCTGTTATACATAACTTTGAAAGTAGTCATTAGCTTGGGGCCAAGCACAGGCAGATGACTCATGATATGTATTTGTTACATTGAATTGTAGTACAGGGAGAAGTTCAATTTCAAAATTATCCAAGTGGCAGGTGAAAGTTAATAGGAAGAAAAACCACAAGTGCCCTTCTTCCAAATAAGGAAATGCCATCAGAGGTGTGTGTGTGTGTGTGTGTGTGTGTGTGTGTGTGTGTGTGTAAGGCCGTGGGTAACCAGTTATTTCCAGTATAAGCTGGAAATGAAGGGTGAAAACATTATGTTTCAGGGTAATGAATGAAAGTTTTGGCAACACC